TTCTCGGGGCGTGCGCCCTGAGATATCCAGCAACAAGAAGAAGGAAAAGGATTGAATAGAGGAACTCCCGAGCATTTGGCAATCTCAGATGTGTCGATATCAATGGTGACTCATTATTTCGATGAATCATTTCTTCGAACACCTATAAAAGAAATTCTCATTTATCTTATAAGTTTCATATATATGTGTATTTGTGGTAGTTCTTAGCGAGTATAGGATGTCTCAAATTGATGAATCGAAACAAATATTTAAATGTGTTTACTGCTAACATTACATTTCTCTTCCTCAATTTGTAATCACTCCTTCAAAATATAACACTAAGTAACCTTGAGAATGAGTGATCTTAAAGTTTTAATCAGAATCTTATCCCACAACAATCAGAAGTTCCATTTATGAGATAAAATTTATTAAACTTCTTGGAGCAAACGGTATCAAAAGTTCAAGGTCATTCATGTAAATCACACAAAAATGTTAACATTTTCAAAAGTCCAGCAATGTTGTTCAACAGAGGAAGCAAAAAAAAGAAGAGAATTAGAATAGGAATTAATCTCTTATAATTAACTGGCTGTGTGCCACCAAAACTATATTATTCACCAAAACCAAAGCACTTATTACTTAATAAATAATATTTTTTTATTACCAGTAATTCCAACACTGCCTTCACTTTCTAAAGCTTCTGAGATGCGGAACTGATCAATAACCTTATAAGTATCTAATTGATCTTCTTAAGGCAGTTAACATATGTGTAACTTGAGAAAGAAACAAATAGCTTGCGAAACCTGAAAAAGGCAAACAAAAAGATAGTCATAAAACATGTAAGGTGTGCTGGCTCTTACAGATCGGACTTTTTTTATACGTAACCATCTTAAGCAAGATAATATAGCAAAGGTACTACATACCAAACCCACTGGCTCTTGTGCTGAGCCATTGCAGCTAAGCTCCTTCTGGGATGTTCATTTAGCAAACAATGCCTTACTCCGCTTAAATGGAACTTAGCAGATAGAAGGGACAGCCATATGTCAACTGGTCCACTGTACTTGCGCAATATGCTAGTGCTAATCTGAAAATGATGAATCACAGCCTCCAGTCAAAAACTTAAACCGTAAAATTGTGATATATTGGCAAAGATAACAACCATAGTCATAGGAATGCAAAACCGGTTAACATTTGAATTCTGCAAGCTATGATACTCCCAAGAAAAATATGAGCATATAAGGGACGACATAGTCAGTAAAATTTGTACAGTCGATTCCGACATGCTTGGAATTGAGACACAGACGTAGTTCTTGTATGACATTCCCAAGAAACTAAAATAAAAATCTACAAGTAGAATCAAAGGTAACGAGACAAGGGAAGAACTCACAAGCTCCCAGGCATCAACTTCTTTATGTGAAGTATCTTGCAACAGTTTTCTGCAAATTGAATAACCATTTCTATTGTTAAAGTAGTAATTGTATCAACAGCATGAACAGTTGAAAGACATAAAATAGAGGTTTGCGTTAAGGAAATTTAATTTAAAACTAAAGCTATTAATTCTAAGCCTTACATATTACACTACCAAAGATTTTAGAAGACTAGTGGAAGAATATGCTACAACAACAATTACACCATAATCCCAAACCCAAGTTGGAATTGGCTATATGAGTCCTCACTAACCATGTCACTCCATTTAAGCTAATCTTAGGCTGGTATTATACAACAACTAAAAAAGAAAAAGAAGTACTAGGACCTAAAGTAAACATACAAATGTGGCTATCATAATGGGAGAATTATGGTGAAGTTAGTGAGTTATGTCATGAAGAAGATTTAGTTTGAAGGCTTACATCTACAAAGGAGTGTCCAACTCATCAAATTTCCGCGTTGTACAAAATGCACAACATGTTATCGGCATGTCAGTCAATTATAATTTCAACAAAGAAAAGTAAAGAATCCCTTATAATGATTCCTGTTCAAAAAACTTAATCAAGTAAAAGAGAGATATCAAACTAAAAAGAAATAGGAACACTATGAAACTTTGCTAGTATTAAATACCAGTGTCTATACTAATTAAATCTGTTTATAAGATCTGAAAGAGCGCATCGCCACACCCAAATAATACCAGAATATAGTGACTAATTTCATATGCAAAGTACTATCAATGGCTACCAGAATATGATAAATAACCTACCGTACACCTTGATGAACGTCTTGATGGTTACAGTGACCTGAGACTCCATAATTATCAAAAGTTATGACCTGGAAAACAAATGTCCATGAGATGATAAGGTAATAAGATTTTTCTCTGCTCACAAATAACTCTAAGGCAACATTTTGGATAAAAACACAAAGGAAAAACAGAAATTATTCAGATTGTAATATTCTGTGTTAGAATATAATACTACACTTGTTACAGTATTTGAAAGTCTCGAGTATTTGACAATTTTCTAAACGCAAAATCTATTGTCTACAACATGAAGTATGAAATAGGCAACCGCTGTCTTATTTTCTAAATTTGGAACTTCATGGGGTTGCCCCAATCTATCTTCATGAAATTTCGGCTTTCCTACTGAAAGTCTATCCTATATAATACCAAATATCAAAGAGGCATAAATACAACGGTCTATAACATTAAAATTTTACACATGTTTCAAAGGTACTTCTTATATTTGGTAGACACCACCAGGTAAGGAATGGAATATGTAAACCATTCTATGGGTTCTCAGCTTAAATTCCAGATGGTAGGCATCAATGAAGTCGTAATAATGGATTCTTCTGTATAAGTTCCAATTAAGCAGGGGGTAAATCAAATCAAATTGATTCATCGCATCTGAAATAGGAATGATGAAAAATATTTTCTTTATATGCAACTAAAATGAACAAACAAACTAAGGGATATAACTTCAGATCAAGATTTTAATCTAGCTAAGTAGAAAAGCCACCTATTTGGTGTCAACAGGAGGAAGCTTGAATAAGCTATCAAAGAAGCACAAGCTACTCAAGATTATGCGAAAGACCATCTTAGTTTAACAAGATAGTTAACTAAAATCACTTACCAAATCAATTGCAGAATTGACAATTTCCTTCTTGATAATCTTTGACAATAACTTAGAGTTCCATGATTTGCCAAAACCATCCTAGTCAGAACTAGGTGTTAGAACTTTGCTTAAACATTAAGAACATAGAGATATACCATTCTGATACAGCAAGAATACCTGTAGATCTGGATGGTCAAGGACTTTCACTTGCTTTTGTGGAACCTAGATGAGTAAATTATTAGAGAACAGAAAGATCAATGACTCATTCATATCTGACTTGCTACTCCAACAATTTACATAAAATTCCGTTATAGTAATTCGCAGAAATAGAGGAATGCAGGATCACATGAAGCCAACATAAAGATCATAGATCTAGCATAAATGTTCACAACCTTAAGTACAATCGAAGCTAAATAAAGTTCTTCTTTTCTGACATTGCCCATACCATCTGCATTACCTATATTTCAGTACAATGCAACAAAGCAGAAAAAAATACTGAAAGTTAGCATCGGTAATACTCTTGGTTATCTAGGATATCGATTTGCTAAAGAACAGTTCTAGTGATTTGCATTCTAATCATTTTAACATTCTTCACTTGAAAAGAACTGCAATAGTTCAAATTAAGAAAGCGAATCTCAGGTTTAACAACACTTATTGAATCGGATCATAGTTTTAAGAAAAATCGATTGCTAAAGTATTTCAACCGCTTCAAAAATCAACTTTTCATTTTAAGTTTTACTTTTTGCGTCTTGAGACATATACCTAGCAATCAAAATACACATGCCACTCAAAATCAGTCAAAAACAATTTTTTTTTAATTCAGCAATCGCAACAAAAATTGAAACATTTCTAAAAGTGTTACCTGTTGACATGCATAATATGTGCAAATTACATCCTCTCGAAGATAAATAATTAAGGGTTGGAGTAAAGAACCTACAGTATAGAGTAAAAAGCATCATAAGTCACTAACATCGTAATAGTAATGCTTTCTACAGCAAGTAGATACAATATTGGTTACTTAATAATAAGATTGTAAACATTGGAAGGTCATTGTATCATATGTGGGAACTGACATCGAGAGTTACGATCCTTGTTACCAACTACATTTTTAACACAATTTGCAAGAAAAGATATCCAGGAAAGGATCTTCTATCAGAACAAGCCTAAAGTAAATCTGATAAAATTTAGAAAAAGAAAGGTATAGCCTTTTATTAGGTCATAGAATTCAAGTATCATATGTATCAGGACATCATATGCTTAACATAACACATCAAACAAAAGGTTTGCAATCATAATTTATATTAAGACAAATCATATTTCAGTTCTTTATAACCTATTTAACAAAGGGCTCATAATTGAATCTTACACTTTAGCCCACCAAATTTCTAGTCCACCCTGTTTTATGGACTTTATTGTTCTTTGAATGTGTGTTCAACTATGAGTACGACTAATAAAATTTTGTATCAATCGAGCAACTTTATATTAGTGTATAACTAGCGATACATAGGTCTCCCATACTCATGATCAAAATTAACGTATAGTTTCAAGTGTCTTAGCCTGCAACTCCCTCTCTAGCAATTCAAAAGTTTGCATTGCTCAGAAAATTTATCACAGGAACAAATAACAACTCAAAGTTAATATGTTCAACCTTACATAGACTCATCATCAGGATGGGCAACAACCAATAAGACATTTCTGTTGTGAAATACTCCACCTGAAACATAAAAAGAATATACATATTAAGAAGAGAAGCAATTAGCTGTGGAAGAAACACTATAGGATAAGATGTATGCATGCATGTTTTTAGATTCTAAGAGAATAATTCATAACAACACCGAGGCAGCCAGTAAATACAAAAGAAAACAAGAATTGACATTTTGTAGAGAAGTCACCTTTACCATCATTTAGAACTGCAGCTTGTGAGGCAGAGAGAGATTCATGGAGAATTTTAAAGAGTGAAGCCACCCACAGCACAACCAATGTAATGACGATTACTGGCCACTCCATTTAATCTTTTTGCTAGCAGAACTACAGATAGCACAGAATTCTATCTGCATGAAAATGTAAACCCATTACGGGCAAGTGAGACCGGTAGTAAAGATCAAACATCAATAATTCAAGGAGATAAAGGATACTAGCAACAATAAACAGTACCTCTACATTACAATCATTTTTTGTCAATACTTGTCAAAAGAGAGTAGGATGGAATGGTTTTTTGGTATGTGATCTTAATAGAGGAATATCACCTCTTCTATGAAATAACATAAAAAAGAAATAACAGTTTATAAGAGAATTTTACCCCTTAATTTTAATCAAGCCATAACTATTACATTTCGAAAGATAAAAAGAACAATTACCAATATTCTTTTTGGAACAAGGATGTTGGATCTAGTACACAGAAATTGGAACTGATTTAATCTTATTGTGCAGTTTATAAACCCTGCAAACATGTTAAGCTTATTTACATCAGTATGTAACGGATTCAAAGACACCTTTTTTAATTGAAAAAGCTAACATAAACTCATTCATGTTGTGCATCTTGATTCAGATTTGCATCTATGTTCCACTTTCTTTTTCCCACACATAATTTGCTCTTTTCAAGTGTTCAGTTTTGACTTGCATAATTAAGTTTGATTTATTTTATCTCCGGCAAATGCTAAAAGATGTTTAGGTTTCATCTTCTTGTGTATTAACCTTGTTTATTACAATATGCATTGGAACTGTTTGGAAATACCGTGCGAGTTTGAGGAGTCTGTAGTTAAATTTTGGTATATGAATGTATTGCTGTAAAAATCTGTATTCATTTTCTTTGGTTTTGCTTTTCTTGTTCGTTTTTCTGTGCAGGATTTGAAGACGCGAGACATGCATCACCTGCCTTTTACACGAACCTGCCAATGACATAGTCTACACAAGGGCGGAGCTAGGTAGGAGCAAGGAGTGTCATCCGAACCCCTTCCACCAAAAATTACATTGTAGATACAGGGTTAAAAAAATATTTTTGATTTATATAATATAAGATGTTGAATCCCTTAGCTTCTTCATATTTTTGAACCTCCTAATGAAATTCTGGTTCAGCCACAGAGTCTACTAATAGTTTACGTTAATTAGGTCGATTATGTATAACTTTTGTTCTATTACTTCAATTTCTGATTTGTGGATAGACTAACCTATAACTAAATTGAAACCAATCCATCTTTTTCAATGCAAATTCCCTTTTATTATAACATTATTAGGGTTTGAGAATCTTCATGTATTTAATATACGTAACAGAGATTCAAAAGTGTAGATTATTAGGCGTATGAGAAGAATGGCAAGTGTGTAATTAACTGTAAAGAAGACGAAAATGGAGTGATTAGCTTACCTGAAGAAACATGGATCCGCCATGGAGCTAGAGAGAAGAAGACGGGAACATCAAAGAGAAAATAACTTTATTATCTTATTTATCTATTTTTAACGAATTATGACAAAATTATTATTTTAATTCGAAACTAATTTTATTAAATTTCAGAAATACATCTAAACTAAATTCTATTACCTCTGAGTTTTTTTGTTTTCTTTTTAATTTTATGCACTTTTTTTATTTATGTGACACTCATATAAGATTTTTTGTAATTTTATGCACCCTTTTAGCTTACATCACATTCAAATATTTTTACGCGTCTCAATTGTGTAAAGTTACAAAGTGTGTCACGTAAGACAAAAAATATAAAAAATTACAAAAATATAAGTTCAGATAATAATAAAATATCTCTAAAATTTCAATCACCATCTGTGAGTACTTGTACATTGTCTCTTTTAACTAACTTTGTAAAATAATACTATCCAATGGCTTATTTTGAGAAATATGTTTTTGAAAATAGCTTTTCAAAGCAGTGATTTTTGAAAGAAATACTTTATATTCGACAAATTCATCTATGAAGTGTGTTTTAGTTTTTTAAAATAATATTTTATCTGGCCAATAGTTCAAATTACAAAAACGATATTTATTATAGAATTACTAGTATTCAGATATATAAATGATTTTAACTATTTTGAAAGAGTTCAGGTAAGAGTTCATTTATTTAATTTAAATTTAGACATTTAATAAAATACAAGATTGGAGCTAAAAAGGTAAGAAAAGTTATCAAAAATTTTAAAAGAGATATCAATTTTTTTTTAACCAATAGGGCAAAATTACTTCTGACGGAGCGATTTTCTTCTGATAAAATTGATACTATATATTTTTTGACTGTTTTAAAAAATAAATAAATTAAACAAAGATTTCCTTTTCTTATCTTTGCTGCAAGCCAGCAATAGAGGCTGCCAGCTTTGTTTGCCTCTTTGTTAAATTTTTTCTTACAATACAGCGATAAGGGGAAAAAAAAATTTGGACGAAATCACTTTTACAACAGTGATATTTGTGTTTTTTAAAAAAAAAATAATGTACCCATTTAAAATATTTGACAATCTTTGTTGCACTTTTGACTTCAGACTAAATAAAATACATTAAATTTTAATCAATATAAATATACTTAAAACGAAAAAGAAAGAGGAGAACTGTTGGAGTATACTCCCTCCGTCTCCGTCCCATATGATATGATATTTTTCGAATTTCAAGATTCAAACAAATTTTTACCGTTTTCATAAAATCTTTTATACATTTTGTACTACCTTTTAAACAAATGTATAAATTTCATTTAATATTCCAGATTACATGCGTAAAACTATAGGTCAAACTTATGCATAAAACTGTAGGTCAAGCTTAAACTATTTGACTCTCGCAAAACGAAGATAAATTGAGACGGAAAAAATATTATTTTATATTGAAGAGATACATGTATTAAATAAATGATAAATAATTTAATAACAATAATCTGCGAATACTTTAATCAAAGACCTCGAATTTAAATCTCGAATATAGATAAAATCCAATTCAGAGTGCCACCTCATATGGGCTCCGATCACCGGGTGAGAAACAAAAAAAACAGGGAGACTTAAGCTTTAAGATGGGGTATATAAAGAGATTTCTTGTAGCATAATCTCTTTCATGTCTGACTCATATATGCACAAAAGCCTCAGCATAAAATAAAACTGGAAAAGAACTCAAAACTAGAGGAAAAAGGTAATCTTTACCCTTCCCTAAAATGCATAAAAAATGTTAATAAGACTGGCCAAGCAAATTATATGAGAAGATAATATATATCCATTGATTACATCTAAACTGAAAGCCAAGGCCATTTACCTTACAACAGATCATCATCATCATCATCCCCACTACTAAAGGATTCAACAAGCTCACTGTCATCTTCATCTTCACCATCTGTCACAATCTCCAATATACCTCCACCACCGAAGTCCACACCATCTACAATGAAGTCACCGTCTTCGTCTTCTTCGTCATCAAGCTCACTCACACTATCATCATCATTGCTCAAATCATCTGCATCGCTTTCACCGTCCCCATCAAGATCCGTTCCAAGGATTGCTTCTTCGTCAATGTCATCATCATCGTCTTCATCTTCATCTTCACTTTCAGCATCATCAGGGTCTGAATCATCCTCAGTTGGCCTCCTCCGACCAATTTCATACACTCTAGCAGAAGAGTACATCTCATCTTGGTCATCCATTGTTACCAGTCCAACAAATGAATCAGTTGGCTCCGTCGCAAAGTCAAGTACACAACGGTCGACTGGAATGGTTGCAATGTCGGAGTAGTTAACAGCATCCACCGTACGGAAAGCAGCAAAGAGAGGATGTTTAACACGACGTGTCTGGAAGGCGGACATGACATCCTCAAGATTTCTTCTCAAGATGGCATATATCACATCACCACTAGCATTAAATGTTATTACAGTCTGGTCCAAAGACGGTACACTTCGCAGAAGCCTGAAGTTCCGCAAATCCCATACCTCCGAATTTATGATGACCTATCCACAAAGATAATAGTTTCAGCAAAGGTAAAACTAAGGATCCACAAAGGTGAGAATAAATGAAAAATTGTTTAAAGGATTTAGCATCAGAAATACTATCCACCCAAAGGAAAATGAATGGAATGGCTTTACCTCATTGCCAGCAGGATGAAAGCCCCCGCCACCATAGTCAGTAAATTGATCAAAACGGTGAATTGGGCCAGAACCACGAGTATCCCATAAGACACCGTTCCAGAGAAGCATATTGTCTGATGGGCTAAAATGTGCAAGAGAATACATATGTCCTCGGCCTGAAGGAATATTGGATGTGTCTGTAAGTTTCAGTTCCACTTGGCAGGTTTGAGTGTCATACAGAAGAATCTCGCGCCGAGATTGCTCCGCAGACAATGCAGCAAACGTTGTACCGAAATTGCTAAATCGAGCAGCTTTACAGCCTTCAAATGAATGCTTAGGCCCAGCTGAAACAGAAGTTGCATCCCATAACCGCACATCGTGAGAACTTGAAGACAAGAGAAGCTGTGTCTCAACGGAAAGGTAGGACTGTAGAAGTGTTAAAGGTGCCTGGTGACTGGTGAAGCTTTCTAAGATACTGCTGCTGTTAGTGTCAAATATTTTCAGCTCTCCAGAATGGGTGCCAGCAGCAATTTGCGAAGAATCTCCCATAAAAGAGACACAAGTCAATAAGACACCAGCATCATCCCGGCAAGTGCGCCACGGTCGAAATCTACTGTAGACGAATTGTCGATCCTTACGCTTTCCATGTGTCCCACCATTCAAACTTCTAAAATCACGAGTACTAAGCCGTGATGTTACATTTGATGGTGCATCAAGGCTTCGTTTTGGTTCAGGACAGACGTGAGGGTGCAAGAGCGAAAGAGGCGGTAACGTTGTGATGGGAGCAGGACATTGGCGATGCTGGTGCTTCAAGTACTGAACAACCAGAGAGTCCAAGGTTAACCGCTCCGCATTTGAGGGTTGTGTGTCACTTAGAAGACCATGTTGAGAAGACGACAGCATAGGAGTATCATCACCTTCAGTTGGAAAAGCACTTGAGCCAGGTCGATTATGGATCTCTCTCAAAGTAGAATTCGGTGTTGAAGGCACATTAGTATCTGATGGTAGACCACTTCTACGGAACGAATTTGGAGTGACACAAACCGGAGATCTGACTGTATGTTCACCAGTATTGAGTCGCTTAACTGACGATACTGATCCACTTTCCTTCAGATCAGTTAACTTGCGTTTCATTGGCAATACAATGGGAGTTTTAAACATGATGTCTGGATCTCCACCAGCTTTCACTGTAGATAGTAATGGAGTTTCTGATGTAGCTATAGGTGTGGCACACTTTCTCGAATTACTGAATTTGCAGCCTGATGTAGATGGAGAGACTTCAACAGGAAAAGATTTTGAGGACAAACTACGAGCAGACGAAAAGGCCAATGGCTTCCTTCTTGAAGAACAGACAATTGACTCAGATTTCAATCCCCCATCCTCATCCAATGGTGGAAGTTTCGGTTTAGCTGACAAAAATCCTCTAGGTGCACGACCAGATGGCCACTGAATTTGAACTGATGATGTCTCCTGCCCTGATGTTTGATGTGCCAGAGATGATGGAGCAGCTAAAGATGGCAAAGGTGTCAACTGAGCCTCCTTAAGAAGCATAGTTGCAGTGTCTGTCAGACCAGAAGCTTGTAGGTGTTCATGGATGAGAAGTAAAAGTTCCCTGAACTCAAACATAAAGGAGGTCAGAAACTAGTATATAAGGCAAAAAGAAAAAAACCATGTTGCTCAAATTTACATTTGGAGCAAACGTCAATTTACCTTGCATGATATGTGATCGGAGTAGCAGCAGCTATAGCAGCTCTCTCTATACGCCTTAATGTGGGGGTCGCAGCATCTGTAGCAGCCAGAGAACTTGCACGGCCAGAATTAGTTACAACCTGCAAAACAATTGAAAAAGAACCCATACTCCTACAAATTAACAAAAGAGGAAAAGGAAAGAAAGACAACTCTGCGGAGTACACTAGAAAGATGAATGTATTAAGCAACCTAATAAACTATTGTCATACCAAATGCTTGACCTACTCTTTTGGTTTTGTCATGATATGTAGTTAATTCTGATCCTTAGGTCAAAAATTTCCCTTTCTCCAAAAATTAAACTGAAATAAACTGATACAAGTGCACATAATGATAATGATGATGAGCACCTTGTTCACGTTACTAATCAACTTCCCTTTTTTTTTTGAAACTGGTACATGTGATATAACAACTAATCATCCTCATTAGATTTCAAAAATAATAACACTTGTCTATCCAAAACCAACAATAATCTATTCACATTTTCTCCTCACCGTTTGCTTGCTAATCAAACCAGCTACCTTACTCTGCGTGAAAATAGAACTTAAACAAGCGTGTGCGCGTGTGCACGCGCGCGCGTGTAAAGTAAGCCAGCACTAGAGATTATAGATATATTCTTCAAAATTATTAGTGTAATGCACATAATCACATATAGTCATGAAGAAAGCGTGGCTTAACAAAGAGTTAAGAATGGAGGG